CAACGGTGTGTGTAAACCAACAGAAGGTGCCTACGGACCCACGTACGAGTGTCTGTGCACTTACGGATATGACGGATACAAGTACGGCTGGTTATTGATCGATTAGACACTAGGGCACGGAGACTCTAGAGGTTCTCTCTAAGTATGACGTCAGAGCTATATCGCTACAAGTATGTGTAGGTGGTAACACCTACTCAGTAATAGTAATGCATGTTACTGTATCTCGCCCGTAGAAGATATAGATATAGAATCGCACGAGAGACCGCATTGCACTCACCTTCTCCCGTTATAATTTCTGTCGCCTGCGGTTGTTTATCTGTCGCCTTACCTTTATGCTGTGGAAACGCATTACTGTTGCTCCATTATCTACATCCCAAAACGGTCTAGATTTATTCCTGTAATAGAGTACAAAAAAGATAGGTTTCGTATTTTATGTAAAGCATTCTGACGCCGAATGTCCCCTGGACACAGAATTGGTCACTATTACGCGAATATTATTTGTGTAGCTCCTTCGACTTTGTAATGGAGACGAATTTACAGGCGATTATTGAATAGGCTTCAATTCAATGCTCTATAGGGTCGTATTAATCCTTTCAGGTGCGAGGATGATATTGACCCTTGTGAGCACAACCCGTGCGACAACGGAGGTGTGTGCCAAATCAACCGCCAGTACCGGCACAGTGGATATGAGCCGGAAACCACCTGTGTCTGCCCCTGCACCCATCTAGGAGACAGGTATATATATTATTATTATATATATATATATATATACATTAAAAGTGTGTGTGCGCGTCTCTCTCTCTCTCTCTCTCTCTCTCTCTCTCTCTCTCTCTCTCTCTCTGTGTGTGTGTGTGTGTGTGTGTGTGTGTGTGTGTGTGTGTGTGTGTGTGAGAGAGAGAAGAGAGAGAGAGAGAGAGAGAGAGAGAGAGAGAGAAGAGAGACGTGTGTGTGTGTGTGTGTGTGTGTGTGTGTGTGTGTTGTTGTGTGTTTTTGTGTGTGTGTGTGTGTGTGTGTGTGTGTGTGTGTGTATGTGTGTGTGCGCGCGTGTGTGTGTCACATTTTGTCAGATATAAACTCGTAGGACAGCTAACTGGGATCAACACGTGTTATATTTTACAACACTTACACCGCCTCATATCTTCACAACGTTTACTAACGCGCGGTATGTAGCACGCAGTTTGTCGAGGCACGTAACAACACATAACTACTCGTAACAACACATAACTACTCTTAACAACACGTAACTACTCGTAACAACACGTAACTACTCGTAACAACACGTAACTACTCGTAACAACACGTAACTACTCGTAACAACACGTAACTACTCGTAACAACGCGTAACTACTCGTAACAACACATAACTACTCGTACCAACACGTAACTACTCTTAACAACACGTAACTACTCGTAACAACACGTAACTACTCGTAACAACACGTAACTACTCGTAACAACACGTAACTACTCGTAACAACACGTAACTACTCGTAACAACGCGTAACTACTCGTAACAACGCGTAAATACTCGCAACAACACGTAACAACACGTAACAACACTTACCTACTCTGAACAACGCGTAACTACTCGTAACAACACGTAACTACTCGTAACAACACGTAACTACTCGTAACAACGCGTAACAACGCGTAACTACTCGTAACAACGCGTAACTACTCGTAACAACGCGTAACAACGCGTAACTACTCGTAACAACGCGTAACAACGCGTAAAAACGCGTAACTACTCGTAACAACACGTAACAACACGTAACTACTCTTAACAACTCGTAACTACTCGTAATGACTCGTAATAACCCGTATAACGACTCATGACATCCTCTAACGCCGGTCTTGCTCCAACTCCAATCCACAACATCCATGGCCCCGAAAACATCGTAAAGTTACGAGAGAATAATAGCTAGGATTCGGTTAATGTTGTGACTAATGTGAAGACTAAATTAAACGTTTTTGACAACGCCCCCAGGTTACCAGCTGCGTATCAGCGTACCGGAAACCGACCAACGGAAAAAAAGAACCATGAACAGAACATGGTCCGATCTATTCCATGGTCCGGTCCATCCGGTCCATGGTCCGGTCCGGTCCGGTCCATGGTCCGAACATGGTCCGGACCGATCTATAGTCCTACGGGTCGTTGGTCCTACGGGTCGCTGGTCCTACGGGTCGTTGGTCCTACGGGTCGTTGGTCCTACGGTTATTAGTAAGAGGGGTAGAGTGAATGCCCAATTTGTTTTAAATCACATTTTTTTATTTTTTTTATTTTTTTTTAAATTTAAATTTTAAATTGTATTTGTTAAAATTTTCTTTAAAAAATTTTTTTTCTAATTTTATGTATGTGGCTTTTTACTATGATTGAAGTATGCACCAGACAGGAGTGGAGGAGGAGGAAGAAAATAATTCTTAAACTATTTCAGTGTCATTCACCCTCAAGACCATATCACAAAATTTCATTCACCCACGACGAAATTTCCTTCTGTTTTTGGTCTAGTTTTATTCACCTCAAAATAATTTCATTCAACCTTGGGTGAACCATACACCAGTTTAAGAAGTATTGTGGTACACCACACAGGCAGTCCAGCTGCTGTGTAAATACACTGTGTATATTTTTGACCAGTATAATTATTTTTATTGTTAGTATTCATTAGTTATAAGTTTAATGTGCATCAGCGTATTATTTGTATCGTGCACCGTAGGACACGTTGGTCCTACTTAAATTTACCACGTTGGTCGTGGGTAATTTAAAATTTAAAAAAATTAAATTTAAACAAAATGCATTAAAAATTAAATTTAAAAAAATTAATCAAAAATTAAATTAAATTTTAAATTTTAAATTAAAAATTAAATTAACAAACTATTAAAGAAAAAAATTACGTGTGCCTGCGTGCACCGTAGGACCAACGACCCGTAGGACCAACGACCCGTAGGACCAGCGACCCGTAGGACCAACGACCCGTAGGACCAACAACCCGTAGGACTAAAGAACTGTAATCACAAACATGGGTGAATAATGACAAATTTACATAATTTGTCTTTATTTACCCCTGATGATACTAATGACATCCTCCTACCCATGCCAGACACTTACCACCCATGCTGTGCGCCACGAAATGCACCACAGTATAGGAGTCGATTCAATTAACAAAACATGCTACACGCAAATTAAATATGAAAAACGCAGAACATTGCAAACGTTACGTCGTCAACGGCGACTTAATATCTCGCATAGAATGCGTAGATGCTTTATGTGGTAAGTCGGAAATCACACAGACTAAACATCAAAGCAAAATGGCGCTTCGTTAACTTTGTAGCAACCGCAATGAAGGCAGAATCATAACATATTAGCGATATTTTAGGGCACAATATGCGGCTGTCTATTTGTAGCCTGACGTAATTACTAATGTCTGGTGAATAATACACAGCGTCGCAGGGATCGAGTGGATCTCATCAGGACTACTATGCAATTACAATAATAATACATGCATTAAAACGCTAACGCGTCAATCGCGTAATGATGCAAAGTATATAGCGAGCAAACGGTGTGTGTTTTTTCATTAATTTTTTTGTATAGTTGCGAGATAGAGATCAAGCCGTGCGAACCGAATCCATGCAAAAACGGCGGCGTGTGCAGGAAAGCTGGAGGACACTGCAATCACACGACGTTTGCGTGTGACTGTCCCTACGGTCTGAAGGGCGACGTGTAAGTAGATGTGAAAACGATATATGCGCTTGTTTGCTGCGGTCGTGTGTTCTAATACAAACAGCTGCTCTCAAGTTGCTATTCTGTATTTCCCGTGTGAGTCGGTTAAATATATGGTAATTGCGTCAATATAGGCAACAATAAACCTTCCTTGTGGCATATAACAAGAGATATATGGGTGTAGCTCGTTTGCTACGGTCGTACGTTTATTCAAATGTCTGCTATCAAGTTCCTAATGTTATTACCGGATCCGTTACCATTCCACCACATGCATTATCTATAACGTATAGACTTGCTTAATCATCTTCTATCATCGTACATGCTAGATATAGTTTCAGAAGTTAAAAAATGAGTGCTAACTCATTATCTAATGTTATCTAATCTAGTGTTAACATCTTATTATCTAACTCCTTATGATATGACGGAATGACACACGACTCATATACTATCTGATTTGTTTTCGCAACGCAGGTGCGAACTCGGTTATGGACACCCAAAGCACTAAAACCACGATGTTTGAAGCGGACGATGAAAGAGCAAATTCAAGATTAAAGGCATGACCACAAACGGAGAAGCAGTCCGTTAATGATTTTCTGCAACGCGGTGTCGGTAAATACCCCACGATGTTTGAAGCACGGAATGAAAGGCCAAAGCTAAGATTAAAAGGATGACTGTGAATATACAAAATCGTATGCGCTTGCATAAAACATTTGTTGTCAAGCCACAGAATTCTATATGCATTGAAACTCCAACGCCATTTATATGAAATCAGAGAAGATTTTCTCTTGCTTTGTGCAGAAAATGTTGAATGAGACTAAAAAATATACGGTGTGCAATAGCAACCGCGTACACAATATTAGATGCTAAAATATACATAAAATCAGGAGTGGATAATAGAGTCTCTATTATCCACTCCTGATAAAATATTACTCTTATGTATCTTACTCTTGACAATGTGCTCAGTAAGGCTATGCCCGTTTTTGACACATAATATCGGTTTATATATTATATATGTATCATTTATCTTATATAGTTGTTTCCCGTAAATTTAGTTACTGTAATTAGTTTGTCATAGTTCGTGGCGCTAGACTACACGCCGTTGAACCGTTACTGTATGCGCTACATTTAAAAGATTATTTAAAAAAGTTCAATTTCCTAATAATAATTATATATAGGCCTACTATGCCATAATAATTTTTAAATATTTGTAACATTATATTTAGTGGGCAGTTAGAAATAAATAAATATAATCCGTTTAGCAACTTTTTGTATGTATATTATTGTGTGAATATTGTACAATAACACTTGTATGTGTGCTATGTATATGTCAATAACAATATATGAGTGTAACAATACCAGCGATAGCATAATGGACATAATGTTACATTGCATATACACGAAAACCCTGTGAAAAATATGCTGATGAAAAAGGATAACTTTCAAGCAATATGGTTCTTAAACTAAACACGTAAAGTCCGTTTAAACATAGGCATAAATTAATGAACATGTAAGAAATACTATTTATATAGAGTGCGGTATTTCCTAGCTGTCCGACTGCCTGTCTGTTTGTCTGTATGTCTGTCCGTTTTTCATGCATGTATTTGCACATGCGTGCGTGCATGCGTGCGTACGCATTTGAGAGAAAAAAGTAGGTAGCAGATTTAGCATAACCTGACCGCAACGTCTGTCATCGTGTGACATTACAAAGTTTTCGTATTGTGTTCCCATCTCTGTGGAACAGTAGCTACCTATCTGCTCTCAGTAGATATTGTGAGCGATTCGTGCGCTGGCTCACAGATTACATGGCTTTTTCCATAATGTCGTAGATGAAAAACCGCTCCAAAATCATTTAGCACGTAGACGATCCATTAAATATCGCACAAGAACGGAATTTGTTAAATCTACGCTACATCCAGGTTGGGCGGATGGCACCACACCTTACACAACGTAGAAAATTCGCCGCACGCGAACAGCAGTGACATTTTGCATAGATCCATCGTCTGCTGGTTGCCGTGGAAACAAGCGATGCGCGAGGTCGTTGGCTGCTAGGGATAATGACGCTGCGGACTAGGAGCCGATGCGGCGCATTCGATAAACGACTTGTTTTGAGAATGAGCGTGCATCGCCGTCGAGGTGTAACTCTTCTGCTAACATCTGGACGCTAGTATCTCGCATAAATTAACCCGATAAGATTGTCACATCGTCGCCAACATGTCCACTCACGTGTACTGAGATAGGACAACGCACGCCGAAAGGTGAGTGGAAATCGTGTGAGCTGTTTTGAAGGGAAACGTAGAAGGCTCGCTGATGTTACTAGACGCAATACGAACGAGCGTCTCTCCTTCGTATAGGTGTAGCGAAGCTGTGGGACGCGTGCAATTTCATCACGTTTTTTTACTTGTTGCATTGCTTCTAATTGAAGTCTGAAGTGAATGAGCATTGCTGACGTACCATTGGTGTAACTCTAATCATTCATTTTTATTTATTCAGTCCCGGCACCGCGAAAATGGGTATCGATTAAAATTTTCTTCGCTAACATATGGCCTCTTATCAAAAAATAATTGGTTTTGTAACGATACCGTCACAATCAGCTTGTTTGTTATGCACACACGCACACACACACACACACACACACACACACACACACACACACACACACACACACA